CACAGTGGACTGGCAAATGGAGGGGAAGTAGATGTTTCCACAAATTTCTGGCGCAAGTGTAAGGCAATCTAGAAATGCTATGAAAGTCAGATCCGCCTGTGTATGCTTTAGACCCGGCAATCCTGTGCTTGGAATCGACTTTCAAATGTACTTGCACATGAACAAAATGACAGCATTGCTCGTGCAGAAGTTTGGAGGCGATGTAAGCGCCCCTTCAGAAGAGATTTGAGGGAGGCACGGAGGTAAGCGACTGCTCCTGAAGCTCTTACCGGGATCCGTCGAGCTGGATCACGGTCTGGCCGAAGCCCCTTGCGCTCTCTTGGAAGGTGATTGGATTCTCAGTGTCCAGGCTGAAGCCATGACATAAGGCCAAGGCTGAAGGAAGAGCAGAAAGGTGAGGGTCAGGCCAAGCACTGGAGCACCTGCTTCCTGCCCGTGCACCTGCCTGCCCGGATTCCCCAAGCCGGCAGCATCAGGACCAAGACGTCTGCCCCCGAGCCCCGCTCTGATGGCCTGGCGGGGCTCCCCACACTCTGTACCGAAGACTAAGCAGTAAATATTCCAGCTTTGAAGGCCAGAAGGCAGAGCGTGTGACAAAACGCCTTAAACGAGAGAAAATACATTTCCACAAGTTGTTCATCCAGGAAATTCACAGCACGGTTGTTACATATAATTTTTTGTGATACAGGTTTACTAATGAAACACAGCTGGAATTCTTTAGCGGGATGGTGTTCCACTTAACTGGGATTCGAAACTAGCGTTCCAGTCGCCAAAGTGATTCTGCAGGACCGTATTTAGCTACGACTTGTGAGTAAAGCCAACAAGTTGTCAGCCGCACCCACCAAATTGGTCAGGGCTGCTGACTCAGCCTAAGGCCCCCGTCACAGGCTGAGCCGTCCCTGACTAAGCCCCAGCCTCTGCCTGAAGAAGCAATTACTGCTTTACCCGCATTGCCACACAATGACTTACCCAGCAACGAAGTCCCCATAGCCTCAGAAAATTTCCTTCCTACGTCACTCTCAAGCATTTCTTTCCCTTTTTGATTCATTTTCCACAAAACATGGGCACAAAAACTGACTCACATCATTTTGATTCATCAGTCACTCAACAAACATTTACACTTAACACTTGTTAAATAGAACTGGAAGCGCAGTGGAGGAGGTAAAGTAGAATCCAACAGGAATTACTCTGGGAGGAGAGTCCAACCCTTTTTGTGCACTTGGCCATGTCAGTCACTTCTCTAGGCCTCAGTTTCCCCGACGGTGAGGTGAGGGGGTACCAAACAGCCCTGCATCCCAGCTGCCCTGCCTTTCCCACCATGGTCTAGCTCTACTTTTGCTTCTTCTTCGATTACTTATCCTTCCCAAATCCCCTTTGCTCTGCCCAAGTGTAACTCTTACACAGTCTGTGCACCTTCTCCATACTCAGACTGAAAACTTCCCCTCTGTGCCACCCGGGGGAATCCCAAGTCCCCAGGGTACCTGTCAGCAGAAGAACTCTACAGGTCATGGCTGAAAGGAGCAGGAACCTGGGAGAAGCACAAGCTGTGGGGTAACAGACACCAATGAACCGCTACGAGGAAGTCACCAAAACCAGGCAAGGTGAAAAAGAGAAGTAAAAGGCCAAGGGCTGGTAAAACTCAAAGGAAGAGGGCGGAGATTCAGTGAGCACCCTGCCCTGCTCCACTTACCTCCTGAGCCCACACACCCTGCTTTCCCCCCCCCCCTTCCTACTTTCCTGGATCAAACCATCAAGGTCACTACCGAAAAGGTGCCGTTTGTCACCCACTCGCTTCTGGACTTGGCCAAAGCATGCGAAAAACAAGCTAAAAAGCATTAGTTCTGCCTTCTGGGATGTGTGTTCTCAAGATTAATACAGACAGCACAGGTGCAGGAGAACATACTTGATGTCTCTCCAAAAGCAGGCTTTGCAAAATATCCCCCCTGCAGCCCATGCGAATAGGAACATCCTTCAGCCAGAGCTGTTCTCAGCAGGGATAATTCAGTACAGAGAAGCCTAGTGCTTTTTAATAAAAGGCTTATGTTAGTCAGCTTTCCTCTCTCTCTGAGACACAGTTCCCAACACCCACCACTTACAGGAGGAGAGGGTTAATGTGGCTCACGGTTTCAGGGCATTCAGTCCATGGTTGGCTGGCTCCAAGGCAGAAACATCATGGTGGAAGGGTGTGGCAGAACCAAGCTGCCTAGCTTACAATCACAGGAAGCAGAGAAGAGGAACGGTGCCAGAGAGGATGGAACTGGGGACCAGATGTAGACCCCAAGGCCAAGGACTTCATGATCCACCCAGATACACTGAGAACTGTGCTCCACCAGTCTCTGGGCAGATCCCAAAGCCAATTGCTATAGTTTGTGTCTAGATGTCCCCGAAGCCTCGTGCAGTCACAGGTGGGGCTTTTCAGAGGTGTCTGGGTCTAGAATGTGTGATGCTGTAATTAAGGGTATGATGCTGGGATCTGTGGGGTTTGATTACTAAATAGGTCCACTGATTGGTTTGGCATAATTCTGGCCATGGACAATGGGAAGGCCCATGCTGGGTGAGTGCTATCTGCCCTAAGGGTGTATAACCTGGATAGAATATAAGGCACAGAAAGAGGGCTGCCACTGTGGGTGCTGCTTGCTGCGTTTGCTGCCTTCTGCCTGCCATGAGCTGTTTCTCCTCTGTGATGCCCCTCTGCCATCCACCCTGCCTTGGAGCCAGCCAGTTATGGGCCGAAACCTCTATAAATTGTGAACCCAAATAAACCTTCCTCCCTTAACTCTGAGTATTGGGTATTTTGTCTCAGTGACAAGAAAAGTAACAAAGCCACCAAACAAGTTGACACCTTACACTAACCTCCATAAGCTTCAAATGTGCTGCCCAAGAATTTTCCATCTCTAAGATGTATCTTAAGAAAAGCCATCAAGGTGACCTGTAGCTCTTACAGTCCCAGCTATCCTGGAGGCTAATACAGGGGGATCGCCTGACCTCAGGAGTTCACAGCCAGCCTGAGCAACATGGCAAAACCCCACCCCTTCTTTTCAAACAGTGAACGAGCTGGGCATGGTGGCCTATACCTGTAATTCCAGCACCCTCAGAGGCTGAAGCAGGAAGATGACAAATTGGAGCCCCACCTAAGCAATTTAGCCCGGGAGTAAGACCTTGCCTCAAAATAAAAAGTAAAAAGGTCTGGGAATATAGCTCCCTGGAAAGGCCCTAGGTTCAAAAATGAAAAAGACAGTAACAAAAATAATCACATAAATAACTAAGAGGGGAGGTCAAAGAGGTACAAACAAGTTGTTTGCTGCAACATTGTTTTTAAAAACTAGACAGATCTGAATATCCAGCAGCAGAGAAATGGTTAGATGTCTTACTGTGAATAAGTACAGCAACTAATTCTGTTTTCAAAGACTCAGAAAATACTTTCACAAAATATATAGAACACCAAAATGATATAGGATAGAAGCAAAGGGATGGGGGAACAGGGGGGAAAAAAAGCTTAATTTCAAAATTGTACTTTTAAGAAAACTACAACTTCAGGATACACTCAGTCACCACAGGTTCTTCACGTCTGTACACTACGGCTTTACTCCAGGTCTGTAGATGCCTCGGGGACTTTGTTTGTTTGTTTGTTGTTTGTTTGTTTTTTGTTTGTTTTCCACCCCATCACACCCAAAGTCCCTTAAAGATACTATAAATGCATACATTAGCTTAGTTGATACAGTAAAGGATAGAAACCTGGCTTTAAGATAAACAAATTCAAAAGGTTCAAAGAATGTTTTTAGGCAAAATATCTTAGGTCACCCACCTTAAAGGACACCTCCAAGAATATATAGATAGTATATATAATCTCCAGCCCCAGACCACAAAGCTTCTCTCTCTCGTCTCTGAGTGTGTACTTTGTTAATTCTGCCTAATAAAATCTTTCTATGCCTCTCACTGATGCATCCTGAAATTCTTTTCTGTGACCAGTCCTCCATGGAGAAGATGTAGAAAAACAACTGTCAGTTTTTGAGGAACACGACCCCAACAAAGAATGATACACAAAGCTTGCAGCAGCTGTCCAGAATGCTACCCAGTGCTACAGAGTCTTCTGTGCTGAGGGAAAAGAGAAGAGCTGCTGCTCAGACATCACAGGACCGTTTTTCAAGAGGGTAGACAGAAACGAATCCACCAAATATCCGGCATCGCCAAGCATGGTGACGCACACCTGTAATCCCAGCACTCGGGAGGCTGAGGCAGAAGGATCGTTGCTAGTTCGAGGCCAGACTGGGCTACAAAGTGAGCTCAAGGCCAGCCTGAGCTGCATAACGAGACCCTGTCTCAGAAAGAAAAAAAGAAATCTGTCATCAGCATCAGGCATGGGCCAGATTCCATCTTTCCCTCCATCTCCTATCGCTGATGACCCTTCAGCTCCACCACCTCCCCTGCCCTCCCCGCTCCAGTTAGTTCCTCTCTGCTTACAGCCCACTTGCCTCATGCAATCCCCTATACACCGGTTGGACTGTACTGTTTGTGAACCAAACTGTGTGCAAACAGAAGCGTTCATGAACCAAGGTATTGATGTATTTTAAAGTAACTGTAAAAGAAAAAATAATTTATTTACAATATTTTTGTGTTTGGCTTATTTGTGCTTTACATTGTACCTCTCTGTCAAAGGTATAAGATTCACTCTGTTGGACTGACAAATGCATCAGACTTACGAATGTTCTCCCAGAGTGGAACCCATTTGTAAGCCAAAGACTTAACAACACACTCATCAGTGGTCAATCCATTGAGAGTTCAGAGTTGGATGTACTGTTAGGAGGTAGGGCCTGGTCTGAAGAAGTGGGTTAGGGTTAGGCTTGGGCAAAGAGAGGAAGGAAGGAAGGAACGAAGGAAGGAACGAAGGAAGGAAGGAAGGAAGGAGGACGGGAGGGAGAAGAGAGACAGAATGAATGAATGAAAGAAAGAAAGAAAAGGAAAAGAGAGGAAAGAAAACTATAAAAGATTGTATCCCAATGAATTGGATAACCTACAGAAAATGGACAGATTCCTAAGAACACTAAGTCTGCCAAGGACTAAACTATAAAAAAAATAGAATTTTTAAATATACCTATAACTAGTAAGGAGATTGTAGCAGTTATCAAAAGTCTTCCAACAAAGAAAAGCCCCTGTATCTGATATTTCTATCAAACATTTAGGGAAAAATTAACATCAAACCTTCTAGAACTTTTCCAACAACTAAAGAGAAAGGAAAACCACTCACTCATTCTATGAGGCCAACAATAACCTAATATGAAAGCCAGACAAAAGCACAAGAAGATACAGACCAATATCCTTTATGAACATTGATGTAAAGATCCTCCACAATACTTGCAAACAAATTTCAGAAGGTTATTAGAAGGATTATACAGCGTGACCAAGAGAGACTTATTCCTGGAATAAAAATGTGGGTCAACATAAAAGGAATGACCAATATAATGCAACATATTAATAAAATGAAGGGGGAAAACACATGATCACCTCAATTGGTACAGAAAAAAACATTTGACAGAATTCAGTGCTCATTCATGATAAAAATAAAAAGATACCCAAACACTCAATTAGTAAAATTAGAAATTAGTAAAATAAGAAACTACTTCAACATTAGAAAAGCTATACATATAAAGTATTATATAGATAGAGATAGAGACAGATATATATATATATATATATAGAGAGAGAGAGAGAGAGAGAGAAGGAGAGAGAGAGATCATCATCAATGGTGAAAGACTGAAAAGTTCTTTAAGATTAGGAACACTGACCTTCTGCCACATCTATTCAACATGCCTTAGCCACAGCAATAGGAAAAAGAAATGTGGCAGTTTTATACCTTATAATAGAGGCAGATTGCCTCCAATCACTATGGTTCTTATTATCAAAATTAAGTTTACTTGTATATGGAGCAACCATGAGAAATTTGATTCTGTAAAGAGTCTTTAGCCGTGGCCTGGCAGTATATAAATGGTGCTTTATTTAACAGAATACCTGTGGAGGAAATAAAGCACACTTGATGTAAAAATAATTGCTTTGTTTTTATTGACATGACTGATTGCTGTTCTGTGCACTTAATTAAACTGATTGTGATGACTTTAAAAAAAAAAAAAAAGAAATGAGGCAAGGGATGCAGGTGGCCAGGGGACCGGTGGCTTCTTGTGCCCACGTCCCAGCTGCAGTGGTAATGTGGGTGCCAGTGATGAAGTACTAGAGCTGGGAGAAGTTCAGCCACACAACTGAGAAACTCTACTTGGACCTTGGAAGAGCATGCATGGTTCTCAGACCAGGCATTCTTCTGATGGGGATTTGTGTATTAGAGTAACACATGATTTAGTTTGTCTGGTGTATAAACAGACCAAGCTCAAGATAAGAAAACTGAGAAATTCCATGGTCAGCTGAAGCCACTTATGGTTGCTAAGGAGTCCCACCATGTTACCATGGCAATGGTCCACCAGTTTGAAATGCAGATTCTTTTTGTCCTATTGGTAGGAAGTAAATATCTTTTGGACTTGAGAAAGTATTGGGACAGAAAATACTTTATGTACCTAAGTGGGCTATTCAGAATCTGAGAGATCATTTTT